TAGGCGACATTATTAGTAAAATCCCTAATTTTACTACAGTTCATTTATAATTTTTTTTTAAAAATTGGGACAATTATGTTCACAGATTAAACCCCTGTATGCTAGATATCTAGCTCTCTTGTACATGTTGTGTGAACCCTCTATTCCAAGTCTAATCCATGATTCATCTCTTATTGACATGTGCAGAGGAGAGTCAGAGTAGATGCCACTCTGAAAACAGAGAATTCCCAACAACCAGATGGTGTCAAGACTTTATTTACCTCTTGCATTGAAATTTGAAGTGCCCAAAAGATTAGTTTCAGGAAGATTAGATTAAATTATTTTGTCATGTGTTAAATTTGCAATTATTTAAAGGGGCATAGACACAGATTTGAAGATTATATATCCTTTGAAATTTCTGTTAATTTCATGATGTACAAGAGTGTTTCAGACAGATATTTTATACTCAGATCAGAAACTATGAATTACAGGGGTACGTGTTTGATTGTCATACATCCTTTCCACTTTCACATACTAAAAATTTTCCTCAGTATTATATATTATAAAGAAAAGTGGGAAATCTGTGGAAAATTGAAAGATTTTAAAAAGAATAATCAAGAAAAGTTAGAAAAGAAATACATAAAAAGCAATTTTAACCAACACACAAGTTTGTCTTCAGTGTTGTGTGCAATATTAGCAAATCAAACACACCATTCAAAGGTAAACGTATGAATGATAACATAGCACAAGCCAATGTATATGAACACTGGTATTTGGTGTTAAGTTATAAACAATGCCATTGTCATTGAATCTTTAGAATTTTCATGTAGGGTGAGTTCATTATGAATCGGACATCCTCGTTCTTGAACATGTTCTAGCAATATCACTGCCTACTGAATATTATCAAAGTGGAGCTTATAATATGAAATATGTGATTAAAATATGAAGATACACTTATATGCTATCAATTGAGATAATATGATAAATATTAAAAAGCAATTTTATGGAATGAGCCAGAATTTACCATGAATCGGACAATATCCCCCATGCATCAGACAAATGGTACATTGAACAAAAAAACATCCTAATTTTATTGTGATGGCCTTTAGAATACCTGAAATGCTTATGAATAAGTGACATGAAAACATTTTTATGCTTCATTTAAAAAGTAACTCTCTATTTTAATTTCATAATGGATAAATCAATTAACAAACCTGGAGATTAGGTTTAAGTCAGGGTTGGCCGGGAAATACCAGTGGTGGGAATTACCAGCGGTAAATACCGGTATTTCCCATCCTGGGAAATACTACAAATTTTCTCTATACTGGGAAATATTGGGAAATACTGGGAAATACAAAGTTAAAGTTTTTTATTTCTTTAATTCATTCAATCTTATACAAACTTCAAAAATAAAATAAACATAAAAAGGATTAAAAACAGAAGAAGAAGAATATGGAATACCGGTATGTCTCAAATTGCAATTTAATATATTCAGAATGTATCACTACTCCATGTCCCATACCCATAAGCATTCTGAAACATATCCCTGGCTGTATAAAACTGAAGTTTTCCAATTCAAATTTGTTTTCAGTTTTGTAAAATTATTAAGTTTATTATACCCCACGCAACAAGTTGCGTGAGGTATAATGTTTTTGACCCGTCCGTCAGTCAGTCAGTGTGTCAGTCAGTCAGTCAGTGTGTCAGTCAGTCAGTCCGTCAGTCCTGTTTTTTTGTCAGCGCAACTCCTCATAAACCGCTGCACAGAATTTCGTCAAACTTTGCAGATATTTAGGACACAATGTGTAGATGTGCATATTACCAGGAAATTCTGATTCCTTTATTTTTTCTCGGAATTTCGGCACTTTTCAACTTGGAGTTTTGGCCATATCTTGAATATAGAGATGAACAGTTTGTCAGCGCAACTCCTCATAAACCAATGCACAGAATTTGGTCAAACTTTGCAGATATTTAGTACACAGTGTGTAGATGTGCATATTACCAGGAAATTCCGATTCCATTATTTTTCTGGGAATTTCAGCACTTTTCAACTTAGATTTTTGGCCATATCTTGAATATAGAGATGAACAGTTTGTCAGCGCAACTCCTCTTAAACCGCTGCACAGAATTTGGTCAAACTTTGCAGATATTTAGTACACAGTGTGTAGATGTGCATATTACCAGGAAATTCCGATTCCGTATTTTTCTGGGAATTTCGGCACTTTTCAACTTAGGTTTTTGGCCATATCTTGAATATAGAGGTGAACAGTTTGTCAGCACAACTCCTATTAAACCGCTGCACAGAATTTGGTCAAACTTTGCAGATATTTAGCACACAATGTATAGATGTGCATATTACCAGGAAATTCTGATTCCTTTATATTTTCTGGGAATTTCGGCACTTTTCAACTTAGATTTTTGGCCATATCTTGAATATAAAGATTAACAGTTTGTCAGCGCAACTCCTCTTAAACCGCTGCACAGAATTTGGTCAATCTCTGCAGATATTTAGTACACAGTGTGTAGATGTGCATATTACCAGGAAATTCTGATTCCATTATTTTTTCTGGGAATTTCGGCACTTTTCAATTTAGGTTTTTGGCCATATCTTGAATATAGAGATGAACAGTTTGTCAGCACAACTCCTCTTAAACCGCTGCACAGAATTTGGACAAACTTTGCAGATATTTAGTACACAGTGTGTAGATGTGCATATTACCAGGAAATTCCGATTCCATTATTTTTGCCTTAAGAGTTTTGCCTTTTATTGAAGAAACTTTCCAGCTAGGTAATAAGAAACTCCACTGGAATCAGCTTTTTATAATGAAATTCTATGTGAAATATTTTATGACCCTAAAAGACTCCTATTGATTTTGAGATCAAAATATTAATGGTTTAACACAAACACACACTCACACACACACCATCTTCGATAGTTCTCCCCCCCCCCCCCCCCCCTTCAAATTGGTGTGCTTTGCCTTAAATAATTTCATAAGTACAGTATATAAACAGATTCATATGACTACATCATAATTTTGTTTCCATCAATTATTTAAATGTGTAAACTGTCATGTGTTGGACATGGACTTACACTCATTAACAAATCGAAATCACTGAGGAATTTAAATAACAGTTTGTCAGCATAATTCCGGCACTGAATTTCTTGAAACTTTGTAGGTATTTCAGAATAATGTATAGATTTGTATATTACCAAGAAATTTTGATTTCATTATTTATCTAGAAACTTCAGCCCAGTTAAATTTGTAACATACAAAGATTTGAATGTCCTTATACGCAAGAAGTTTTGATGTGATGATTTTTTGCAAGTAATGCCCCTTTTTTGAATTATACTGTGTATTTAAAATGCACTGTGCCATTCATTACATGTTGCATTGTCGAGTTTTGGGGAAGCGTGGGGTATGTGAGCTTGCTCACTTTTTCTTTCATTAACTATAAATCCAAGACCAAAAAAAAGCTTGTTTTGATCCTTCTATAAACACTGTTAGTAGTTATTACAAACAATCATGTTGTTTTAACAAATTGCTCTGGACAGTTTTGTGCTCCTGTTTTCAGTGATAATTACCTAGAGTAGAACTGAAAAGCTTCTTCTTAGGTTTTATATTTATGTCATACTCTACATGTAAGAATTTTAATTCTTAGATCCTCCTTTAGATACATAAAAAAAAACAATTGGGATCTTTGGGTTCATTTCATGGACCTTTATAGACTACATTTGACTCAAGCATGAAACAAATCGACACTCATGACTGGTATATGATGAGTATGCTAGCTGTGTTATGATTGTATAAAATGAATTACTTGGAAACCAGAATTGGACAGTGATACCAAGTAGATATCTTAGCCAATAAGGTGTACTACATGTCAATATGAATGAAATTTGTAGCTATTTCTTATTTCCCAGTATTTCCCGGGAAAAACCAGTAATTCCCGGTAATTACCAGTATTTCCCACCGTCCTGGGAAATATGAGTATTTCCCAGTTTTTTGCCAACCCTGGTTTAAGTTGCATCACATTGTCTTAGACAGGCCTTGCAATGCCTTGTAATATGAAAATTTGCATCTTGGTCTGGGGTTATCATAGATCTTCAAGTTTAAAATAATTTATAGACCCCTTTTCTAGCAGTCAAATATTGATAACTTGTATTTTCTCTGAATATGTTTTTATATTTCTTTAGCTGTTACTTTGATACCCTATTATTATAATACATGTATCTCTATATGAAAAAGGAAGTAATTCGGGCCTATCCATGCATCAGACAGTTCCGATGCATGGTCAATTTGTGTCCAATGCATGGTGAAATGAAAACACTAATTAAAAACAACTTCATGAAAATTAATAATAACATTGAAATGAGATTTCTTGAAATTTTCTATAAAATTTTCAATCATTAACAAAATTCACTAAAGATGGACTTGTTCCCTTGAGGTCTAATGAAAGAAAAACAACTCTAAAAATTTGCAAAATCATAAAATTCTGGTTACACCTCTTTGATGATGTCAAATATGATGTCGCTTCAAGGCCATTATTATGGAATTTTTTGAACTCATACAGCATGATAATAAAAATTGGCATTTAAAAGTTTAAATCTTTGTTGTTAAGACAGAAACAAGTCAAAACACAGAGACAATCAGACTTGATGCAAGTTTATTGTTTAAAGTTGTTTGGGGAAGCAGGGTATGTGTCCGATGCATTTTGAACTCACCCTTAAGCTCAAATCATTTAACTAAGGTTATATTTTAAATAAAAAAAAAATAGATATTCAAAATTGCAAACAAAAATGTTAATGCAAGTGTGTCCATGCCCCTTAAAGCAGTATGATCACCAACAAATACCGATATAATCAGAATTGAAGTGGTTCCAGTCATTTTAATCAGAGTTACAGGTAGATATTTGTCAGTAATCACCATGCTTAAGTAGTTTACCATGCAGATCCTCTATGCAATAGTGTAAATAAAGATCTGGGTTTAGTCAGATTTTAATTTTGTAATTTTATATATATTTAGATCCCTAAGTAGCAGTGACAGCAGAGTATCATCAAAACATAAAAAATCCAAAAAGTCCAAGCATCGTAGAAGGTCACCATCATCTTCCCCAGAAAGGTCGCGACATAGGAGATCTCGTTCTAGGAGTAGAAGACGATCACACAGCTTTGATAGAGATTCTAGGTACAGGTCAAGGTCACGCAGCAGAGATAGGTATTCCAGGCGGAGGTCACGAAGTCGAGACAGAAGATCCAGATCGTCTAGTCGCAGTAGACGGCGTGCAAGATATTCCAGGTCAAGGTCATCAAGTCGAGACAGATATCGGTCAAAAAGGTTCATTATATGCTTATATTTCAGCTACTGGTAGATTTTTTTTCAAATCTGAACTATTCATAATGCATCAATAATATTTAATTTTGATTCACTATAGGTCTAGATCGAGAGACAGACACAGAGAAAGAAGTCCAAAAAATAAATCCACTGAGTAAGCTTCAACTAAAGTTTGTTATTTACATATTTTCACCTTGGTTACAGAAACTTGTAGTTTCAATTCTGTTATGGCTGGTGAAAGAATAGAGAAGTTATTACCTTTCTTTTAATAGTGAAATTAATGGGATTAATATTTATTAATATTATTAATAAATTAAAAATCTTTTTTTCTGCAGAGACCCTTGTGCAAATTTTCCTGGATTTGCAGACATGGTAAGTTTTCCTACTTTAAATAAATAAGAATCTCAATTTTGAACGAAAATAAAAACCTTAAAGCTAAAATCCTTACTATTTTTTCATGTTTTTAATAAAACAAAATCAGTGTTTCCAAATGATCATAAAATAATTCTTTTTTTCTTTTTCAGACACCCTCTGAGCAGGCTCAGATCAGGATGCAAATGGCTCTAAAAGCTGCAGGTATAGTCATGTATAAAGCGAAGAGTTGACCTGAATTTTCAAAGGTTTTCTGTTGCTTTTTTCATTGATTTTTTTTTACATGAAATTACCAGCATGATCTAGTCTAGGAAATTGTTGATATTAATTGAAAGGAAAAAAAAATTGTTTGTGGTATATATCATTTCACATTTGCACGAAATTATGAACTGGAATTCCAATGATTTTTTTTCAGTATTCAGTAAATTTTTACAATACTAACTAGTTAATTTTTATCAATAAATTATTTATCAGCTGCAGCAGATGAGAAGATTAAGGAGCAGACGACAAGTTCAAAGAATAGTAAATCCCTCAAAGAGCAGCTACAGTTTTCTAATGCTGTCAAGGAAATTGAGAGTTCTTCATTTGTCCAGTCTTCATTTTCTTCCAACAGAACAGTAAGTTCATTTTGAACTTTTATCTGTTTATTTTATTGCCAAGTTTCCATGTCTAATTTAAAGTTGCAATCTCCATAGTTCCTGCCTTTATATGATAAATGTGTAAGACTTGAAATGTTGAGACTACAATGTATTTTCTGAAAATATTCTCATTTTTGCTATGAAGGAAAAAATCACAATTGCATTAAGCTCTGTAGATTAACATGTAAGAAAAGAGGAAATTTAAATGAAAACTGCACATTTGTCAAGCAAATTTTTGTGTGAAACCTTTCCTAGAATTTTTTCACTACCACAATTCCACGCAATAATGATGAACAAATAAAAGATAAGTAAAGAGCTAGGTTCACTTTATGCATAAAGTGGCCCTGTAGATATACCAATTTATTGACTAACACTTTATGTTCCATTTTAAACATCAAGATAAAGTAGAGACTTAGTGCTTTCATTTTCTATTAAAAATTTTCTACTTAAAGCCAAGGTCTTGGAAACAGGCTTCATGGAATTGCAATGTTCTTGAATTTTAAGGAAAACAAGTATATTTGAGTACTTTCACAGGAGAGAAATAATATGAGCGCACCCTCTGATCTAAAAAATAAAACATGCTTTGTAATTTTCAGAAATAGTTTTATCATTTAATAGATGCATATTTTAGATCAGAGGTTGCGCTCTATATTAGATATCGAAAAATAGCTTTAAAAATTGGCTGTTTTTGTAGAATTTTTCAGGATATGAAGAAAATGACGCATTTCATGACGTCATAATGCATTGGCTAGCCAGAAAATTACGTCATTTTTGATAGATACGCAGTCATCAAAGTTTTAAGTGATATTTGATGCATTGTCAATGAAAACCAAGCAGTTTCACTTTTTCTGAAATTCACAGGGCCAAAAAAGGCCCTAAGTGAACCTTGTTCTTTACTTCTTGCAGAGAGATTACAAGAAACAAAAAATTATTGCATCTACTCTTAAAAAATCGATGCCTTTTCTCAAAAATTTGCACTATTAAACTCTGTTATGGAAGTGCAACTAATGAAACATTTGACTTCACAGTCCAAACTGAGTGCGTCAGACTTTTAATCTTCCAGTATCCAGTGGTGTAGAGGTGGATCTAAGTTAAACATGTACATGTATCATATATAAAGATTTTGATGGTATTCAATAATAAATAAAACTGTGCTTGTCCCTATGGTTACACCATAAAACAGATTACATATACAATATGGTTTGTGTAAATAGGATAAGATGTTTGAAATTGTTTTTTTAATGCAAGATTTTATTTTTGTCACTTTTTATGAATCTAGAAGTGTTTTTTTTAGATTGGAAAGAAAAAATAGGTCAATTTAAATCATGGTCATTTAATTCTGTTTTCATTCTGATTTTATCGAGCATCAGTATGTAGTCAGTTTCCCTTTTTTACCTTTTGCAATTTTGTATTACAGGACAAAGATAAGACAAGTTCAAAAGAAGAGAGTTTTTCTTTTGGTACAGCTGCTGAGTTCAAGCCTGACATGGCAGTGAAAAAAATCCTAGAAGTGGATGATTTATCAAAGCTAGCTCATTCCAATGTGAGTACTATTGTTGTAAGAAAAAAAATTCACAGATTCATTTCTAAAAAGTTTTTTTTTTAAATTTACAAATTTTCTACATTAGTAAGATCAAAGTCCAAAAATATTTATCTTAATTAGAAATAGTCCAAATAAACATTGAGAGGAGAGTCTTTCATGCTTGCTTTCAGATATAAATAAGCCTCTAGGATGAAAATTTAGATAAAATTAGCAAGCTATATAATTTCCTGCCAATATTATACCTGTCTAGAGTAGATACAAGTAATATGCATATTTTTGGTTTGTATTAATATACCTGTCTAGAGTAGATACAAGTATTATGCCTATTTTTGGTTGGTATTAATATACCTGTCTAGAGTAGATACATGTATTATGCCTATTTTTGGTTTGTATTATACCTGTCTAGAGTAGATACTTGTATTATGCCTATTTTTGGTTTGTATTATATCTTTTTAGAGTAGATACATGTAATTATGCCTATTTTTGGTTTGTATTATAGCTGTCTAGAGTAGATACATGTAATTATGCCTATTTTTGGTTTGTATTATACCTGTGTAGAGTAGATACATGTATTATGCCTATTTTTAATTTTGTATTATACCTGTCTAGTAGATACATGTATTATGCCTATTTTTAATTTTGTATTATACCTGTCTAGTAGATACATGTATTATGCCTATTTTTGGTTTGTATTATAGAGCTGTCTAGTAGATACATGTAATTATGCCTATTTTTTAGGGATGTCAAAATATTTATTTTCGTTAGTCGATTATTCAGTTGCATTATTCGAACGATAGTCGAATATTCGGAACATTTTCTGAAAATAAAATTATATTTTACTTCACTGGTACATGGCCTATTTGTAACTCAAAAACCCTTTTACATAAATCTATTTGAAAAGTAATCTCAAAATTAATGCAATGTAACGTGTGGATAGCATGATTATATGAAATAAATTTAGACATCTAATTCTCCAAAATTATCATTTCTCCATCAATCGAATTTATAAAACGGTATATACAGTCAATTTTTGTTTTAGTAAGCATTATCTAAAAATTGTCATCCGATATTTTTTTTTTTATTTTTTTTAAGCTTAGTATGAAATAAATAAAAATCAGGTGCTCGTGATATTGTTAAACAGTTTGATGCTGCTTATTCAATTGATTGTCCCAGCTATCAAAATGTCATTAAAATATTTAAGCGGATTGTTTTAATAATTATCGAAGTGTCAAAACATGTTACGGCCATGGTGCGTTCCTTGGATTTGAGCAATCCTAAAATAACAAAATGTAATTGGTACAGGGTATAAGATCAAGCCCAATTAATATTTTTCCAAACAAAGTCCAGTAATTTGATGGGTAATTTATTACAAAAACAACACAGGCAGTATCTGACATATAATTTCCGGGTTAGTGAAGCACTTACAATTACAGTACTTTTTTTAAGTACATGGAAAGTCAATCGTAATAATAATAATATTCGAATGTCGTTTCATTATTCGATCGTCGGTCCATTCGACTGATAGTCGAATAGTCGACTATTCGTTGACATCCCTACTATTTTTGGTTTGTATTGTAGCTGTCTAGAGTAGATACATGTAATTATGCAGGCGCGTAGCTGCCTATACGCAAATACGCAAGTGCGTACACATCACTTCCAGAAAAAAAGAAAAAAGATAAGAAAAAAGAGAGAATTATTCGGAGAAAAAAAATCTCAGTACATCTAACAAATATTCGTGTTTCAAATTATTCTGTGTCATACTGTGTCGATTTAAATTTTGAATTATCATGGCTGTATGATAAAATTTGAAATCTTTTATTTAATAACTGACAAATCCAAATAAATCATTCATTATTTTGTCATTGTTCTATCATACATTGATATTTTTTTAAAAAAGATCTTTGAAAAAATAAATTTCAGCCACATCGTTGAATGCTATGATCTACTAGTATGATTTACAATACGATATTTTATGTTCATAATTAAAATTTTGTATACGTGTTTTTAAACGTTAAGAATGATTATATGATACCAATTGATATATCGGTTAAATTTTAGCCTCAATTATATGTACAATAAGTTTCCATGAAATATTAATTTTCGTTAAAACAATAAATATTACTTATCTTTTATTTCCTAAACAAAAACTAAATGGCATAATTTTTATATTTCAAGAAAATGAATGAAATATTTGGTAAAACTCCGGAGCTTCTGGGTCCTCACCAGCAAGCACGTAGTATCAGGGGAGCCTCCCCACTATTTATTCCCAAAATCTAACCTTTTACTATTGAAAAAATGTACATTGAAAGGGTGGACCCCCAGTGTTTGTTGCACCATTGTTAAATCATGGTAATTTGGTAATGTATTAATAAAAATTTGGTTTGTGAAAGATGGACACCCCCCCCCCCCCTTCAACAAACACACACACACAAGAAATAGGACTTCGAATTTTGACAGTCTTCCTTTTTCGTCCTTGCTTGACAAAATTTTTAAAGTTGTAATTTTTTCCTGGCTGGCAAAAGCTATATTACGTGCCTGATCAGAGCGGTCTTAAACACTGGGGGGGGGGGGTCAAGACTCCCTCCCCCACCCAACCCCCTGCCGTTCTCTGCGTACACATCATTTCTATTCTGGCTACGCGCCTGTTATGCCTATTTTTGGTTTGCATTATAGCTGTCTAGAGTAGATACATGTAATTATGCCTATTTTTGGTTTGTATTATAGCTGTCTAGAGTAGATACATGTAATTATGCCTATTTTTGGTTTGTATTATAGCTGTCTAGTAGATACGTGTGTTATACCTATTTTTGGTTTGTATTATACTTTTGTAGAGTAGATACATGTATTATGCCTATTTTTGGTTTGTATTTTAGCTGTTTGTCGATCCTGATGTCAAGATGGATCAGTGGATTGAGAGACTGAAATCTCTAAGGCAGCGAAAACTTGAAGGAGAAGTTATTAAATGAAAACATCTTTCTGTCTTTTGATGAAATATGCTGCAGCACTAGGAGAGAGACTTGAGAGACTGTTGAATTAGCAACAAGAATTTAGGTTATTAAATACTGTAATTCAGAAACCTAACAATAATATTGTTGTGTTTCTGTTCTTAGGTCATATTGCAAAGAAAAAAACTGGTCTGATTTTAAGAATTAACAATGTACGTCGTGTTTCAATTTGCATTAACAATTTGTTAAGCTGTTGCTTTTAGCTCTGTAGTTGGTAACCTGTCACTCGTATCACTGTCATCTCATTTATTGAGCAGTGTGATGTAGGTGTCATCACAAGTTCTATGAAAAATAAAGTTATAAATAAGTGTCAATCAGGCTTTTTCATCTTGAAGTGAGATGAATTTATTTTGAATATTATTTCATCTATTATAGTGTACCAATATATGTATTTGTTTTGATGCAGATTAAACATTACAAATTTTGAGTTCACTCTTTTGTTGGCTTCGTATAGAATGTAGATGTGTCTTTCACAATTAATTTGAATAAACATGACCCACCCGTGCCTGAGGAGGAGATTCAAATACTGTAAACCAACTATTATTCACGTCATTTTTTATTCACAATTCGTCAGTTTGAAGTTAATTCGTGACAATTATTTTTCATGACTGAGGAAACATTCTTTACATATACAAAGCAAAATAATTGGTTCGTGGGGATTAATATTTGCGAGTTAAAGTAGGTCGCGAAACTGGCGGATATTTCTCACACGCAAATAAGAGGTGGTTTACAGTATTCCCATGTAAAACTTTGATTCCCTAAATTGTGTCCCAACCCTTCCCCTGGCAGGGGGTCACAACAAAAAAAAATTGAACTCTGAGGATGCTTGCATTTTAATCGATTATGGGCCTTCTGTTCTTTACAAGAAGATTTTTTTTTTTAAATTCTGTAGAATGTATTTCTCTGTTTTTAAAAAAATCCCTTATGATGGCCCCACCCTACAAAGTTTAACATCTGCACTTCCCAAGGGAACCTGTGTATTGATATCCTGATTTGTATAGCTGTTCTTGAGAAAGTTTTGTAATTATAGATTTTTTTTAAAAATCATACTCCAATGTAAAAGTTTGATACTTTATTTTGTCCCCACCTTACCCCTGGAGGCCATGAATAAATTGAATCAGCACTACCTGAAGCAGGTTGCATATTGATATGATAAGTCATGCTCTGTTGTACTTAAAGATTTTCTTCCTAATGTATTTCTATGTTGAAATTTTATTCCCTATTGTGGTCCCTTCCTAGTTCCTACCCATGGAGACCAAACATTAGCCCCTTGGAAGGGGACATAATGCTCTTCAATTGTACATTTTAAATACCCTTAACTCAAGGATGCTTTGTGGCATTTATTAAACCTCTGATTCTGCAGAAAAAAATTGAAACAATGAAGTTTTAACTTTACAGTCCTACAGACAGATGAAGAACAACAGCTAATTGGAAACTAATTATAGATCTGAGGTGTGCTAAAAGGTCTTAAATTGTTTATTTCCTTGCACATATCCCACCTATACGTACATTATCAATTTAATCTCTTCAGAATTTTTACATAATTTTCAGAAAAAATATGAAATCCAATACAGAACACTAATAGAAAATTATAAAATAGATCACAGGTGCCTGGGTCTTTATACATGTAACATATATGATACCTTATATACATATAAATGTATTTATATGTATATAAGGTATCATACATACTTATATATATCAATACCCAGGCACATGTGATTAAGATAAATATGTGCGGGAAAGAGGGGATCGATATAGCTTAGGGGAAAAGTCCGGATCCATTCGGTTTGTCAACTACAGCTTTACATTTTATACCTCCCCCGCCATTTTTTAACCACAGGGGCCAGGGGTTTCTTGGAGGTATGTTGCTTTTTAACAGCAAAATAAAATTGAGATCTGTAACTACATTAGTGTGAAAACAAGTTAAAAGTTCACTGCTATTTAAAAGACGCAAAATTGTCATTGCATATGGCGAAACCATCAAACTACCATTATATATTGAGGAAATTCGAGTTGATGATTGCTCGTGTTGCAATGTCGATTCGATCGAATATCATAAAGTTTTGTTGTTATAAAGACGTTCTAGTTATTGTAAGAAACATTTGAATTGTAGGATATCTTTAAAAGTCACTGTTAATCACAGGCAATACAAATATACAGTCTGTACATCTATCAGACGAACAGGCAAAGGATCTTCGTATGAAATGGAAAGCAAACTCAGAAACCACGAAAGAAGAGCAAAAGCGGCGGCGGTATATTATTTTTTTTTCCTTAATTCTGATCATTTTCAGTGGAATGTATTTAAAGGAGTAGATTTCTAAAACTAGGATTATTTATATCCATGTTTATGAGTCCATATTGTATAGTCTGCTTTATATTGTGTTACAGACTGTGAGTCAACATGATACTGAAGACCTTCTGTCATATACCTCCTTAAATAAGAATTACACAATTCCTAAAGTATCACCAGAGGAAAGGGAGCGTCGAAAGATGTTGAAAGGTAAAAAATGTTCCCTGTTGAAGGATATCGGGTTCATTTGCCCTATATACTTGTTTGCCAGACTCTGATCGCCCAGTGTTCATTCACTCAAGAACACAGTTGCTATTGTTATTTAAAATCATTCTTATGGAAATTATGATTTTTATCTGACAACATTTTTTTAATGATATGCATTGAAGAATCACCCATTAACATAATTCATTTTATGTATGCATGAAGACCTTTTTTTCATCTGTACTGTATGCATGAGTATTCAACATTAAAATAAGACAAACGAACCTAGAGTGAACAAGAATTATAGTGAATGGACTTACGGTGAACAAGGACTAGAGCAAATGGTGTCAAGGGCGAACATGTTTTAGGGCAAACGAACAAGCATTCCTCTTGAAGCATAATATGACAAGCTTTCTTTTCATATCTGTCTTGAAACACATGGTCAGTACATTTTTAATATTGCATTAAAGAAATCAGTACTCAACAAATACTTATTTTATGTTTAGATTGTGGAATTGATACAAAGGGAATGTCAAAAGATGAAATAGCGGAAATTGTGGTAAGTTAAGCCCAAACATTGATGGAATATAAGAAAATTACTTCATTATCAAAATTTGCACAATGACATGAATTAATTTATGCTGATTATTATAAAATTAAATGCAGAGAGCAATAGAACTGTCAAAACAAGATGTGAAAGAGAATCCTTATGACATGGACACACAAATAGATCATAGCCAATCCAGCCAGTCAGAATTAGAGTCTTTAACATCACACCAATTGAAGAAAGCTTCACAAGAATCCAGCCTATCAGGAAAAGCTTCTCCAACAGCCCACCAATCAAAGAATGCTTCACAAGAATCCATTTCATTGAACAAAGGTAGCCAAGACCTTCCCCAGTCAGATGGTGCTTTACTGGATGAAAATTTGATAGAGGGCGAGGATTCAAAAGAACAGTTGGAACACAGAGGAAACAAAAAGCCAATAGGTAGAATGAGTTTTAGATTACACAGGGAACAAGAAGTGGAAGAGGTTTCAGTTGGGAACAAGGAAAAGATTGACAAAAAAGAGCTTAAAACTGAGGAATGCTTTACTAAAACATCTAAAGCACCCGAAAATCCAGATCATAATGGAGGAGTGTTTGACAGGGTATTTAAATTGATTTTTAGCTGCACATTAAGATTAAATGTGTTTTTGATATGTACCACTAAAATTGGTGAATAGCTCTTAAAGTTTTGGTCTGGAAGAAGGACAATAAAAAACTTATTACTTGCAGGTATCCATTTGTTGACTATTGATTATTTCTTCAGGTTGTCAGGACATGCAAGAAAGCAAAGGCAGCTGTTTTCAGGAATTTGACCCAAAAACAACAGGCAACACAGAGCCCTGTGATAATTCCAGATTCTCCAGAAAATGTAAGATATTTTTGTTATGTTTCACAAACAAGGCCTCTCACACTGACTACCAAATGTAGTGGGAAGGGAGGAATGAATAAAGAAAATATATGGCTAGCTGGGAATCGAACCTGAGACCCCTAGGCTGTATCACTAGTCTTGCCATTTAGGCACCCAGGCTGATATCCACAGTCCATGTAGCCGAACTGCTACACATTATGCTTTCATGTGATTTGAAAACATAAGACCATGGAACATTTAATGACAAGATCTGAAATTTGCAGCTTACTTCATTTTCGTCTGTTACAGTCAAAACATTTGATGATGGACAAGAAATGGGATGGTACTATATATGGATGTCTGAGAAAACATTGGATTGAAATTCTAGTTTGAAATTCCTTTTCAATCCACTTCAATTACTCTTGTAAGCACATTGTTACTGATTTATCCAGAAGACAAATAATTTCAATTTTGGAATAGTGTAAAAGAACTGCGAACGATAGTATTGTTCTCCCGCCTACCTCCAAGTCAATTTTCAAAAGTTAAGATATTCGAATGATTTTTAATATTTATATTGATATTTATATGGATTTTCATAAAACATTACTTCTTTGGGAAAACAACGAGAGATAACTCTAAAATTTTGGTAAAACTCGTGTTTTCACTATAGAAATCAACGGAGAAGGGAATATATTTTTAAAACATCTTTCCCCCCCATGAAACAAAAATTCCTTTTTACGGGTTATATGGACTGTCATTTCACAAATTCATACCAAAGCTTTTTGTGTTTCACAGGGGGAACATATGTTTATATACAAAAAACAACAAAAATGCTTATTTTTTCACTAATTTCCAAGTGCTTTACAACTGAAACATTATATTTTACTAATATATATGCTTAATTTTATATGCATAAAACATAAGAAAAGATTTAAGAAACATTTATTCATATCCAAGACTATTTCAGAATATGGTGATGCTCTATAGCCCTATTTCAGTGGAAAATATCGTCTACCCCCCTTATTCCAAGAGCTGGAATTAGGGATATTTTACTATTTAGCACTGGAATTAAAATAATTAATCAATTACCATTGAACTGTTCTTTGCATTAAACAAAGATTTTATGGCCAAATTGTCATCAATATTGAATTAAATGGTTGTAAAATGTAGGCGGGAATCAGGAGTTACCGTGCATAGTTCTTTATGTAAATCAGAATTTTCTGTCCAGAGTTTTTAAAGAAATAAAAAGAGGGCGACCATTTCAAAATTTGCCTCCCCCCTTCTAGAATCAAATGGTTGTAAGCTGTAAGAATATATCTAAATCTTCTATATCTTTAACTTTTGCATGTCCTTAAAAATATTAGATAGAAAATTCTGACATACATTAATTTTAAACTACATGTATTTCAAGCTACATTTGAAATTATTTATCTTTTGGATCATACATTAACACTTTGTGTATGAAAAAAGCTCAGATAGATTGAAAATGAATTTTGAACTAGAATTTCAATCCAATGTTTCCTAAGTTGTCTGTTTTAAATTGTACCTGCCCATTTCATTGTCTATCATCAAATGTTTTGATTGTAACAGATGGAAATGACATAAGCTGCATAATTTCGATCTTGCCAGTTTATGTATCGTGGTCTTATTTTATTAATAAACTAGATGAAATCCCGCGCAAGCGCAGGGAATTGAATTTATACCACTACCGACAGAAAAAATCGAATAATATATATATTGTAGTGTCTATTGACAACCTCAGGCTTATAGCAGGAAGAAATACTTTGTTCAAAATCCTGCATGAAGTAGAAGTACGTCTCCAACCCCCAACCCCCCTTGTAAAACTTAAATTACAATATCATTAATTGACGTTTATTGTGAAACCTGTTATATACTATGTTATGGATATTGTATATACTATGTTATGGATATTGTACTTCAGATGCTCTTATTTCATTTCCGTCAAGAATAAAAGCAGTGAATATGCACATTTTACTGAGAAATATTTTTTTTTTGGGGGGTAAAAATTCACAGGTACTTGGGTCTTGGTTTATAAATATGTATGTACCTTATTGATATGTGAAAACTGTACCTTACCTCTTTTTTTTTACATACATGTATCTATAAGGTACATACATATTTATAATCCAAGACCCAAGAACCTGTGTGAAAATTAGCTTTTATATAACGCCCTATGAATACACTGGCGGATTTAGAGGGGGGCCCAGCTCCCCTCCCGTTTTGTGTCCAAAATATACATAAAATTTAATAAATCAATTTTTTTTGGTGTGTCCGGTGTGTCAGTGGGCCCCTACCCCAACCCCAAACTGGTCCCCCCCTTTCAAGATTCCTGGATCCGCCACTGGAATAGGCCGAGTATTTGATACAAAAGACTGTATTAAAAAAACTGAAATGTATTGATTAAAGCACAAAATTTTACAACAGAATTGTATTTGAATAATGCCTTATTCATTAATATTCTCTTTTCATGTAAGCAAGTTTATTAAGAAGTACATATTGTACTTGGGGTTCGTTGCCACGATGCTCTCAGTGAGGAATATATACAAATTTTACCAATAAATTTATTAGGAAAACCTTCTACATATATGTAATAGTCTTTCGATATATAAATATATTCACAACTTACAGTGTTATCAATTATTTACCACTATTTCAATGACCATTCACACAAAAGCCTTTTTTTGTGTTAAAGCAGCTATAATCGCCTTGTTTTTATGCCCCCGGATCGAAAGATCCCAGGGGTATATTGTTTTTGTCCTGTCTGTCTGTTTGTCTGTTTGTCTGTCAGTCTTTTGAAAAACTTTAACCTTGGCCATAACTTTTGAACAGTTGGTGCTTGGGGTTTCAAACTTCACATGTGTATTCCTTGTGACAAGACTTTCCTCTGGATATGAACCTCTTTGACCCTTTGACCTTGACATAAGAGTTTGACCTACTTTTGAAAAACTTTAACCTTGGCCATAACTTTTGAACGGTTAGAGCTAGGGCTTTCATACTTCACATTTATAATCCTTGTTACATCACCTTCCTTTGGATACCAACCACTTTGACCTTTTGACCTTGACCTAGGAGTTTGACCTACTTTTGAAAAACTTTAACCTTGGCCATAACTTTTGAACGGTTAGAGCTAGGGCTTTCATACTTCACATTTATAATCCTTGTTACATCACCTTCCTTTGGATACCAACCACTTTGACCTTTTGACCTTGACCTAGGAGTTTGACCTACTTTTGAAAAACTTTAACCTTGGCCATAACTTTTGAATGGTTGACGCTAGGGCTTTCATACTTCACATATGTAATCCTTGTGACATCACCTTCCTTTGGAAAATAATTTGCACATTTTCCTTTTTAATCGGTTATCACAACTTATTTCTTTTATATCATTTAAATCAAGTTTTGATTGAATAATTCAGTAATGACGTTTAATGAAGTAAATAAACGATTGCTTGTTGTCAGTTTCATTAAAAATTGCCAGTAATTTAGATCCACCAACTGGAAACGCCACTGTACTCACATTTTGGCTATTTCATGGCTGTTTATAGAAAATAAAAGTAGACTTTTAATTTAATGTATGATACTTACAATGCAAGTGAAATCTAAATATAGTTTAGGGACATCATCTTGTATCTAGTGTGTTCTTAGAGGAGTAAGTAAGAACTTCATATTTGCTGCAAAGTTTAGAATAGTTAGAGGAAGTCATAATTAGTTTTTGGGGTCTCAGGTCAAAGGTCAAGGTGAAAAGTGAAAATTATTTGTTTTGCAGTAAACTTGAATGTTTTTAACATAAAATCATTTTATGCACTATGTGAATTAAGATGGGTAAGATATATTTTAGATAAAGATCAATGCCAAAGGTCAAAACTATCAATATGGCTGTTTCTGATTTCGGTAAAGAATTTTTTTAACTGAATAGAAAATTTTCTCTACACAAATTAGTTTAACAGTTGATAGAGGAAGACATGTATATATTTTGAGGTCATTCTTTCAAAGGGCAAAGTCCAAGTGTTATTTTCACATGAACACACTTTATGTGCTACAAAAAGTTGAATGTTTATTTTAACACACTGGCTTTGTTGCTATTCATTACACAATTCAGAATAGCTGCATATAGTTCCTGAGGACACTTGCTCAAAGGTCAAGGTCTAAAGGTCAAGTTTATTGATTATTATTAATACTGTGGGATTTGTATGACTTAGGTTTTCTTGTATCATTCAATGCTAACAGTTCAACAAAGAAACAGAGAGAGAGAGAAAAAAAATCATAGATTACATTCTCAGAATTGACAGTGGCTATTCTGAAATCATCTATAATTGGTAAAAGATGCAATGGAAGTAAAATATACCTTATTAGAGAGACACAGAATTTAATGAACTATGATGTATTACACAGGAAGAGCAAAGTGATGATGATTTTGTACCAAAAGTGAATAAGAATCCCCACAAGAGAACAATAGTAGAGAGCAGTGAGGAAGAGGAAAAGAATTTTGTTTCAGAAAAGCCAAAGGTAAGTACAGTGTGAAAAAAAAATACAGCATGTAGTTGTTCATTTTCCTCTAAATGATAAGTTGAAAATTTATAAACACTTTTTTTCGTTCACAACATCAATCTTTACATAAATATCAACAATAAATTTTCTTTTTTTAAAAGCATTTGTGTATTATTGAGAATAAACAGTAAAATTGTGTACTGTGTAGAAATTCTTAAAAGCACCAGAAGCATTTCAGAGTAGTATGCAATCAAGTATTATTTAGAAATGGAAAAAAAGGAATGCATGTATTAAAAAATTATTTATAGATTCAGAATACAGTCGGTTCTAAAAGAATTAAACTGATGCCCCCTGGTACAGAGAAAGGGAGGGACATCCAGGAGGAAAAGGGTCACAGATCAGTGTCCCCCATGGAGAACGATTTGGAGTTCTTTAAACAGGTGGGGTGAATTTCTCACATCATAGCTAAAGAGATTTTTAACATGCAGTATAAGTAATTAAAAATGAGACAGCTCACTTCAACAGGTGTCATTACTACTGTAAAATCACTTTTTTTTTGTGGGGTCAAATTTTCAAGGTTTGAGAAAAAAAAATTGTTTGTGGGGATTTGATTTTGTGGTTGAAGAATTGCTGAGTTTTTATATCTTGTAATCATGTAATGTTAACATTTCATGGAGGACTGAACTTATGGGTCTCTTCATACTACGAAAACAATGAAAATTAACCCCCACAAAAATCAGTGATTTCACAGTATGTGAGGATAATTCTACTCCAAATGTTCAGTAAGGCGAGCTTGAGTCAAATTTGTGAATGGGTTTAGATATAGTTTCTGAATGAAAGCTTGCCAGATGTAACCCTAGATGTTTATATTATCTTTATTTTGTTGGAAGTGACCTACTCTAAAACATTTCAATGTGTTGCATACCCCCAAAAAATTAGGTCAAATTCAGATTCTGAAGAAAAATAGTGGTAGAAAATAGTCTGGACCTGTAAACTTTGATTCCTAATTGAGAATGGACCTCTTCAAAAATGTCCAAATTGCCATTCTTCAGAAATTATGTAATCAATATATTCGTCGTCCAGTGAAAGTGCTGTAGCTTAAAATGAAATATTTGGGAGAGAGATGTTGCAGAGGGTCAATGTACATGTATAATCCTATGATATTTTGTATTACAAAAACCTATCAAGAATTTGATTAAATTTACAATAATGATTTATTATTAACTCTTCTTTGTTTAAAATAGGACCTTGCTGATAAACATGCATGTAAGACACTCTCCAACGATCATCATTTCAGGTAATTCATCATTTTATTGAGATTTCATGCATTGTACACCCCATTCAGTTTTACAAAGGTAAAAAATACAATATACCATCTATGATTAAGCTATATATTTATTATAAACAACTTGTCTGACAATGTATTATAATCTTTTTATTGCATATATATGTATATTTCTTTTCTTTTAAAACAACAGGAAAATGAAGTCAGTGAAGGTGAGTAGAACCATAATTTGAAGGGGAAAAAAAATTCTGAATTTAAAAATTCATTTTACAAGAGAGGAGAAAATTGCTTATTGATGCTTTGGTCATATCTTCAAAATTTTGTGGCCAAAGTAAAACCAGTGCCTTTGTTTTCACAGAAAGAAAGAAACAAGATCAGGACTCCTTTTTATGCACCTAATATTAAAGATGTCGAGAGATACACAAAAGTGATTCTGCAAGCATTTGAGATTTATCATCGGAAACTTTTTCTCCTCCAATCTAAATCATGCAATTACATGGACAGGGGGGAACCTGTCAAGCCTGGTCGACATATGGAGAAAACGATTGACCTGAAAAAGCGAGGTCAGCAGGAGGTGGCCATTACTACTTATGGTGACGATGATGATATTACAACAGAAGATCATGTGTATGGTCAATTCTCTGTGAATGAGAATCCACTTGATTTTATGGATGATGATGCAGCTGCCCATGAAGTGATTAAAACAGGATCAGCTAAGGCAGAAAATAGACCTCTGAAATTGACCAAAACAAGAAGAAAAACAAATAAAGAGAAGGACTCTGTCAAAAATACAGTGAATATTGTGGAGGATGATGATGTAATGGAAGTGATGGACCAAAGTAGTCAGGTGGAATTGCCTCCTCTGGAGGGTCAGAAAGAGGATCAGGAATTATCTGAATACTTTTTGGGACAAGACAAAGAAAATGATCTTGAAACCATTCATGAACAGAGGCGTGTTCAAGACAGACACACTCCGGATATTTTGATGGCGGAGGATACATTTCTGAAATTAGACAGAAAGCAAGACCCCAAGCGAAATGGAAGGACTTCACAAAAAAACAGAAGGCCAGAAAAGCAATTACAGTTTGATGTTCAAGCACTTAGAAATAGAGTTACTGAAAGTAAAAAGAATGATATATACCACAACAACCAGTTTATGTTATCAGAAAATACTTCAAAAACCAGATTTAAAAGACATCATAGTGACATTAGCACAGCTAGTTCAGATTCAACATCTAGAATGGAAGAGGATTTCATTCAAGAATTAGCAAAGAAGGATAAATCAGTAAAATATGGAACTGTACATCCGGCCAGGAATCCTGGGATAATGATTAATCCGGATGGAGATGTTTATGCTACGCAGATGTGTGCAATGGAGGAGAAGCATTCAAATAAGATTGAAACCAATGAAGAAAACTCAAATACCCAGATGACAGATAATTATTTTGATGCTGGAGGTAGTGGTGACCAAATTAATTCAATCATTGTGAATGATGATGAGAGTGTAGAAATGGCTGCTTCAAAACGTGATGTTGAGAAAGAAGATGAAGTTATTGAAGAAGTCATCACAGACGACTCAGAAGAGGAAGTTATATTTTCTGTTAAACAACCCAAGGAGAATGCACCAAGGCCAAAGGAAAACAGCAGTCAGGAAGGTGAGGTTAAACTGAACATAAAGAGAAGACTCGAGCCAAAGAAAGCGAGAAAGTTCCAGGTAGCAGAGTCTGATGAAAGCACCGACAGTCCAACCTCCAACGATGACAAGAAGGTGGAAAGAGATGTCCATGTTGAAAGTGGTGAGGGATGGCTATCTGCCAGAAACTGGACAAACAATAAACCGACTGTAAAAACATATACAAGGAGAACCAAAATGAGTGAAACTTCAAGAAAACCTCCTCCTAAGGTATCCAATCAAATATTTTCCTTAAGTTTTCTAAGTTCAGTTTGTACTCTTGCTATGAAAAACACACACAAAAATCCATTGTTTTGAATACAAAGTATTGTTTCATGTGTTCTAGGTGTCAGAATTGGTGCCTTGTCCCATGTGTTATAGGAAGTTTGATAGTGACCACATAGAGACCCACGCAGCTGAGTGTGAGGGAGAAGTTAATGGTGAGTGTGAAGGAGATGTTGAGGGTGAGTGTAAGAGAGACGTGAATGTAAGAGATGTCAAAGGGATATGGTAGTTGAGTGATGTTAAGAACAAGTGTAAGAGGAAGGGGGGGGGGGGGGTAACAGTGAGCATAAGAGAAGGACAAGGTTTAGTTTGAGGTTAATGATTTGTTTGAAGAAATGGTCATGGATGGATTTATTGGAGATATGAATGGTGAAAGTGAGAGAGATGTCAGTGGTGAGTCTTACAGAAAAGACATCAGTGAATCTAAGATATGGATAAAGGGTATGAGGGGATTCAGGGGAATCAAAGATGATTTTAGAGAAGGATCAAGAGGGAGTGTAAAAGGAAGTTCTAGGTGAGTCCAGGAGAGGGGATAAGAGTGAGTGTGTAAGAGGGATTTTGTGGGGATTCAGGGGAATCAAAGATGATTTTAGAGAAGGATCAAGAGGGAGTGTAAAAGGAAGGTCTAGGTGAGTCCAGGAGAGGGGATAAGAGTGAGTGTGTAAGAGGGATTATGGATGAATGCCAAAGGAGTCAGTGTGTTGGTATTATGGATATGGCAGGGTATACTTCACTGTTGAATAATTTTAGACACCTATTTTAGTGCACAATAACTAAAAAAAACTCTTCTGACCAGTTTTCATAATTTTCGGCTATACAGTAAAATGATTATCACATATTATGTTACCCGCGTTTCTTTTTCCTTTCATTATATTCATATGTACATGTATCTTATTTATTTCAGTAAAAGAAGTACCTATAAATTAATTTTCTTGATATCCCTTGCAGATAATGCCGATGAAAACATGGACACAGAGGCTGAGCGAAATCAAGGTACCCATATGTAAAGTAATGCAAACACATGTAGATGAATGAGAAATGAATTATTGTACAATAATCCCATGCATTATAGAAAATAAGAAATATTGTAATCCAGTGTTTTCATGGTGAGATTTTGTATTACAAACTTCAAAATTCTTAGAATACATTGGGGAAAATCTTCTCAGTCCTCATCTATACATTTAGTAATAAATATTTTCACAATTTCATAACATGATAAAACTCATAGATGCAATAAAAGGGAAGGAAGGTTAATACCTTCTACCTGTAAAGAGTCTAAGCATTCTTACCTGAGTTCCCACAACTGCAATGTTTTACTTTTATTCATCACATGTAGGGGACATATCAGCTTTTTCAGAAGAGCAAAATTAACACAATCTATAGTTTCTTGAACACGATTTTTGTAATATAGTATTTTTACATCAAACTTTATCTTTTCTTTTTTCAGACAATTTATCGCCATCCAGAAATATGTAAGTTTTCATGCAGAAATGCAAAATGTAATAAATCATGGTTTTCTTTTGAAAAGTTTAGGAGGTCATTCTAAGCAGCACAGAATCTCATTCACAACCCACTTGATCCTAAGAAATTTGGTTCAAATATAGGTGTCAGAATTGGTGCCTTGCCCCATGTGTTAAAGTTTGGTTTAAATATTAATTTAATTAGATTAAAGATGCCTGAACAATGTTTTCATTCTTTGATAGCCAGTCTATTATATACAATATATACTTCAATTTTCTAATTCTTATTCCAATACATAGGACTGGGCAGTCCTGTATAGTGTGTCTGGAGCCATTACCACATGGATTTGATGAGATTGCTCATCCTCAGTGTTTGGAGGAAGCCACACAGGCGCAGCACCAGGCAGATAACAAAATATTTTACAACATGCAGGTGGAGGAGCCACGGACTACAAGATCCAGGGGGAGGTCCCAACAAGTAAAATCAACCGATCAAAAGCCAGACCTGGCAAACCCATTTGTGTTCAATATAGATGATAATTGAATTGTTTGTGATAGTTGGATGAAATGCTATTGTTATGATTTCTTGTTGATTTCTATTAAATATTGATCAGTATTATTGATTTGATTTTTTTTAATTTAACATTGAACTTGAAGGTCACTTCACCTAATCTCTTGTTAAAATAAATTATGGAATAACTGTCTTCTCATTTGTTATTTGTGACGTTAGTGCTGATTTAACAGTAGCAAACTAAGTTTTACTGGCAACGCATAAGTGTCCACGGTAAAACGGATGTTTGTGACCATTAAATCAGCATTTAGTCATTTACAGTCACAGATAAGAAATGATAAGATAGTTATTCCCATTCCAATGATTTTATGCACTTTGTTTGATGTTAACATCTAATTTTATTGAGTTTTGTTCTAAGAAATAGGTCACAAAGCGGTGTGTTTTTGTGTTGTTCTTTTGTGACGTCACAATCGCAAGCTTTCACTCTCAATAATGCTCATTTAACTGCCTCAAACCTCAGTGCATTATCCAATCAAAATGCATTTTACAAAACAGTTGCAGTAGAATTAGTGATTTATTATCTACATGTATATCAAGGATGCGGACAGAATTTGTCAAAATTTTAGAATACTGATGAAGATTTACTGGAGTTTAGTTTTGGTTGTATGGCAAATATTGAAATTAACAGTAGTGAAAAGAACTTTTAAAATGTAGATGACCAAAGCTAATGATGGAAATTATAAGCCTCAATTTTGAACACGGTAATAATAGCAAAAATTGGCAGATGGTAACTATAAATGAGATCAGAGTGTTGTATATTATCCTGAAATATCTGTCTGAAAATCATCTATTTTAATTTATTTCAATCAAATGTATAACTACATCTTCTAAACATTTGTGATTACCTGTCAAGTACAAAGACAAGCTGTTTGTGGTAGATGAACTCATGCATGCATCTGGTTTGGAGACCTTGTATACATATTCTTTGAAATTACTTCTTTTGTAAGGGGGGGGGGGGTAAATTTTTGTCATGGCCGTAGGAACCGGGAGGGGGGGGGGCGTGCCCCCCAATAATTTTGCCGATATATAGATTACTATAGGAAACATAGGTACCATATGCTTGTGCCCCCTCAATAAAAACGTCTGATGACCCTTTTTTTTCTTTTTTCTTTTTTTTTTGCTTGTCAAGAATTTTTGGTAGCTGATAGTGCCCCTCCAACTGAAAATGTATGGCTGTGCCCCCCCAAACTGAAATTGCTTCCTACGGGCCTGTTTGTGGTATAAATTGACTCATGAATTAATATCCTGTAGAAAATGTTACAATGTCAAACCACAACATTAGCTTTGTCTACCATTTGCTTCTTCAACCATGAAATCAACACCCCCACAAACCAGTATTTTTTTCTCAAACCAAGAAAATTTAACTCCACAAAAGAAGTTATTTTACAGTATTTGCATGTAATAGCATATAGGTTTCTTGATGAAGCTGACTACCATTGTGTGAAAAATTTGTTTCACTTTTATCTACTGTGAAATCGCCAATTTTCATGGGTTTTAATTTTCGTGGTTTGAAGAGACCCACAAAATCAAGTCCCCTATAAAATGTAAAATTCCATATATATTATAACTCAACTGTTCTTCAATCACGAAATCAAATCCACATGAAGCGATATTTTTTTTCTCAAACCACGAAAATTTCACTCCACAAAAATTAAGCCATTTTACAGTATTACATAGTTTAAAAAGAAGAATGAGCTTGAACTAGGAGACATGATTTTTACGAAAACAGATCCATGTACATATATGGAATATTCATGGATATTTAGAATGTCAAATACTGGAAAGGATGAGGAAGGAACAAAGGAAGTACATATAAAAGTTACATTTTAGTTTGAGGAAAGAATATATATATTAAAGTAGTAATATTTTGATAACAGGCATATGTACGGTATATATAGACCCCAAAAACATACTGTATCAAATTTAATTATTATCATGGCATGGAAATTTTTTTTTTGTTTGTGAAGAGAAATGTCAAGTAACTTTAGATTTGAATATGCAATAAATACTTAAATTTTTATTTTAAGACCTTGAACTGTCATAGTTGCAAAATTATGACAAGACAAAGAGGTACTTTTAGAACCTTTTTGTGTTCCCGTAATCGGAGATTCAGCAGACAGTTGTTCAGGCCTTCAGGGGCATGTTATCACCAGCAAAAAATTTAATCTTGGTCATAACTATTGAATGGTTGATGATAGGACTTTCATATATTTCAAAATATGCATTCCTTGTCACAAAACATTTCTTTCGATACCAACATTTTTGACCTAATGATATTGACCTTTAGGTTTGACCTATTTTTGAGAAACTTTAAACTGGGTTGGCTTTAATTTTTGAACGGTTTTCGCTAGGGCTTTGATATTTCACGTGTCTATTCTTTGTCACATGACCTTTTATTTGGTACCAATATTTTTAATCACATGACCTTGACCTTTGAGTTTGACCTACTTTTGAATAACTAACCATCGCAATGACCTGCCATACTGGGGATCAGTGTTTCACAGATACATTTTGTTTTATTTGTATTATCATTTGGTTTTTATTATTTATTTAGTACCATTCTATATTCAATATGTGTATAATTTAACAAAAATAAAATTATACTTCTTTGCAAGTACTTCGTTTTGTCGTTTGTCGAGTTGAATGAAATCCGGAAACCCATCATTCTTTGTCCGAGTTTTACAACCTCCAATCAATGATACGCCCCCTCATTAGCATACAATTTCAGCAAGATGGCGGAAGGGAGAAACGTCGATAAAGGAATATAAACAAACATGAGTATTTTTAGATACCAAGGTGAGTTTGGAATTTGTTATCTTTTACGTAAGTATTAACTTAAGTGTTGACAAATTGCGATAAAGTATGATTTTGATAATTTGGTATGCGATTAAAGAATGTGTCGCCATTTATTTTGACAGTTTAAAGATGTCAAATGGCTGCGGACTTTGATATGAGAAAGCAAAAACAAATCATCTCATCGTCCACAAAATGGAAAGGACGTTAATTAAAAGTAAAAATGTACCACAATGAGATTAGATATGTGTGATAGTTTACCGCCTACCTCCATCATTACATCAAGTGGGAGTTTGCTGGAGAATAACCATGAGTCGGATATTTCAGTTTTAAAATCAAGAGTTAAAAAGTGCAATTTTGATGAGGATTCAAAAGAGCCGTGCTTTTCTGATATTCCATCATCTCCTGAAAGTGTTTCTGAACATGAGTTTTGTTCAACAAATTTTACTGATCAAGATATGTGTTCACATTTATCGAGCTCAGGAGATAGTGATGTACATCCAGATTTTAAAAGGTCAAAAAGTGAAAATGGAATTTCAACTAATGAAAAAGATATTACCAAGCTAGACTGTGATGCAAATAAACAGAATCTCAAGCAAAATGGAATAGCAAAATCACAAAGTGATTCAAACTGTTCCAGTGTTAAGAGAGCGGATGCAAAGGAACTGAATTCTGGACTTCTAATATCTCCGATTTCCCTCACTCAAGATTTACCCATAACTGTTGGACAAGAGGATGATAACCGTCTTAGTTCAGTGTTGGAAAAGATCTCCACACCACTTGTTTATTTGCCTAACACTCGCCAACTTGTTACAGAAACATCTAAAGATAGCATCGATTCAAAAAGCGAGACAAATTTAGATGTGAACAACATTACTGAGACAAGTCAAAATGAAGGAAGTGACGAGGACTGTACCAGCATCTGTGACAAATGGAAACTGGTTAATTTACAGGACACCTCAAGTATTGGAGAAACAGATTCCCTGTTAAGACTTAAAGATCCAGATCAGCTCACCTGCAACAGTTTTGACCTGGAGGGATCTTTCCACAGAGTCCAGACAGGAGATTCTTTATTGAGGACGTTTAACGATGCTTCCAGTTTGTCAAGCTTGAGCACCTGTACTGACTTCTCAGTTTCTGCAGTGTCAGTTGGCGATGATGCAAGTGATGGGACTGGAATGTGCTTAGACACAGGTGACGGGAATTTTATTGAAGTTAATCTCCATTCAAGGAATTCATTTGATCGTTGCAAAAATAACTCATCAGACAGTGGGATCGAAGAACAAGGAGCCAAACCAAAGAGAAGAGGCATCTCAGGGTTTTTATCAAGGTGATATATATCTATATTTATCCCTATTGTTTACAAAAAATGTCAGAGTTAAAGTCCTTAATAAAAGTAAGAATAAAACAGGAAATTATATAAAAGGATATTATAAAGTTTCTCACTGAATGACAAGTCTGTGTTAACCAGTACATATACGTGTATGTAGGAAGCTTTTACTTGAAATAACTACCTGTATGTGAAATGCCAGTGTATGTGAAGCATGTTAGAAAATAATGAAGAAATAAATGCTCTCGACAGGGGATTGTTTTCGCGCAAGTCCAAGGAAGAAGAGGAGGACCAAGGTTGGAAGCTTTTTGGGCGGGTCCCACCAAAGCAGGGTGTGGTCAAACCTCCACAGCAGATTTCCAATGAATATCAACAACGAAATGCTCTTCAGAACCCCAATCGGACCAAGAAGTCTGATGTAGAAGTAATGTCCACCACCGCCCTCATTCTAGAGAATAGACCACAGTAAGTACAATGATACTGGTCCATTATAGTTAATTAAATAAACAAAAAGCAAACATGGATTGCCTGTATAGGTCATGGAAGAGAAGTGATTGATTCAGTTGGAACACATGGCTCTAGATCCATATAGTGTGATATAGTTACATGCAGCAGGGTTTTTGCCTGACAATCATATATAGAAAAGTCAGATCATTTTTCTAAGTTGATGTTATTAGACATTACATATATTGTGAATCTTATCAGACATTACAGGTATTAATTAATCTAATCATAGAAAACTTTGCCACTTTCCATGAAGATATATTTCTGTCTAAAGGGGGGGGGGGGGGGGGGTGATCCATTTTTGGGTGTGCTCAAGGAAGCTGAACTGTAAAAGATGTATCTATTATTTCATTCAATGAAATATTGAGTAAATAAAATTAAAATTTTAAATAAGTGTCACTGTATGTTGTTTGTTTTCTAGAAACCTACCCACAAAAGATCCCGAGGAAGCTGAGAGACACAGATTGCAGTATGAAGCCATGATAGAAGCTGCTAAAAAGAAAGGTACAGTAACCAATGTTTTTGTTTAGATCGATTGTATTATGGGCTCTAAATTGCAGCTTGTTGAAAATAAATTTAAACATGTTTTGGTGGATGTCAATAAAAAAAAAAGGTTGCTAAACTTGACCCATATACAAAAAGAAAGTAGATCAGGTGAATGTATATGATTTATAGTCTTTTTCATATTTGAAGTTCATGGCTTTTTATAGGATAGGTAGATATACAGTGTTGGCTGATACATAAAAAAATTTAGTTAATATGTACTGATGTGTCATGGAGGATAGTGACACATGATCTTGACCTGCATTTGAGGAGTGCTGTCAATACGTAACCACAATAATGTTTAACATGAATTTGTCTGAGTAAGGTCAAGTTTGTACACAACCGACAGGAAGCTTACATTCTATAAAAACTATGGCAGGCATAATCATGATAATAGTTCCTGTTTGTGTCACATCTTGACAATGTACTGCGCAGAGCATTTATTTACTTAGTTTTGTGTTGTCCCATTTAAGTTTAACCTGAAAACGTTTTAGAAGGGCATATATTGAGAGTCCTTAGAGAAGTTCTTTTAGAGTGTGTGGTGTATTAAAGAATGTATGAATTGCTACTCTGAAACAATGATTTATGAAGGAGAATTTATCATGTTGTTGAGTATGAAGAATAAGCTTGATGATTTTCAAGATCTATCTTATTGACTGATATTAAAAGTTAGCTTTGATGTCTTCTCTATTCAATTTGGACAACAAGAAATATACAAGAAAAGAAGGAGAAAAATATTAGGCACACAGCAAGGTTTCTTTTCTTTAATTGAGATTAAAGATAATTAGATAAGGGGGCATGATGAATTTGGTCTGAAATCTGATAAATATAATATTCCTGTGCACAATTTTAACTTGATGGTAACTTTTGAACTTGAGAAAGCATTCACAGTATAATATAATAAAGTTGAAGGGTCAAGGTCATGCATCAGTGTTTGAAAGTCTGGCTCTGACCCAATTGCAAAAAGTTCTAAAATTGTTAATCCAATAGATTCCCTAAATAAGGTCTTCAGTTTCTTTCAGTCAAATTTTATTTGAAACTAAGTCCTACTTGAATATATTTTACCTTGTTAATTCATAGATAGTGTGATCTGCTGTTTTGACTAATTTTATCATTTTAAGCACTTGTATCAGTGACCCACTTCATCATAGTTTAAATTAGTTTATGAAAAGCTTATAAGTAATATGTCATTATCTAACAATGAATCAATCCAAGTTTGATAAGCGTCAATAAGTATTATTTCCTGTCAAAATCACAATGATCCATTTTTTTTTTGATTATATCTGTGGATTATTATATATGTAGAAAAAAATTATTTAGATAATAAAAATATCATTCTTTATTGTCTTCTTAATTAATTGTAAAGAAGCCAAATAGGCCTGAAATGACTATTACAGACTAAGTGTAATTACAAAAGAAGCATCCAATTTCTATCTTTAAATGATATAAATAGGTTTCTGTAGATGCAGAAATACAGATGAAGTAAACTAGAATATCAGATATTCTCAATCTGATTATGTAAACATTAGCTGAGGACACAGGGGCCAGTAACATACTTTGCTAGATTTTATGTGATCACTATACACACACAAAGGAATATGTAGAGCTCACATAAATCAGGCAAAATATGTTACTGGCCCCTGTTGCTGAAGACTGTTTGCATTAAACATATTATTTTATGCATTTATACTTTAATTTCTTACTGTATATTTTTCTTGAAAATAAGTCCCCATTTTCCTACCAAAACTGAAAATATGCATTAGTTTCTCTTCTCAATATTTTAGGCTATTATACACGTCAGTACAGTGTAAGTTGCATTTTGCATCAACTTTATGTATCCAGTGCACAATAACACCAGGAGGTGTATACAGGTGTCAAATTGTTATACCTGGATACATTGATCTTATAAAGTTTGCTATTGTATCCTGTCAAACCCATACATCAAAATCAACAGCTTCAGAATATAACTAGTGCTAAGTATTTGTAATTTTATGAAATGTGATAGCTGGTTATAAAACTCCCACAGAAAAAAATAAATTGACCAATGGTGGCTTACTGCATGTTCTAATAGGTTTGAAATAAGTCAGTGTTCTTATTATACATGTGTAACACAATATAAATAAATTTTGAACTGGAATCAAATTTCTCTAACAGGAGTGTCGTAACAGTGTAGGTTATAATTAGCAATGGGTCACTGAACTTTCAATAACTAAAGAAGCTGTCATATGCAGTACATTGTATTTCAAATGTTGACCTATAAAAGGGACTCGGAGTCTGTAAATAATTCATACATTAATAGCAACTTTGGAATTAGGTCTTTCAAGAAAATCAATATATAGGTTTGGTACATGTACATATTTATATGTAAATTTTGTATATTCATGCACTTCAGATTGAAAAGGTTTTAAAATCAAGGCCAGAGAAGGAATTAAACAATACATGAGATTATCTTCATGGTACATTGTACATGTATTGTGTTTGTAAATAAGCCATGGTTGTCAGATTTAAGTGTATTTTAGCATCTGAGTAGAAAGATTAGCCTGAAGCATTGGACTACCATCCTATTTTGTGTTCACTTTGTCTACAATCATTTCGCTGTAGTGAATGTAGTTTCAGGGGCATTCATTATTTGTCTGTAAACAAAAATTTCAAATTAAATGTTTTTGTTGTCACTGAGTGATCTAAGGTGGATTTTCTTAAGATTTTGGCCAAATTTTAATGCTGAAGATTTCTTAACTGTTTACTGGTATGCAGGATATAAAGAGGACAATTTTTAAAAATTTTCTCCTACAAAACAAAAACAAAATAAAGAACACTTTTGTTTGTCAATTTATCTATTTTATGAAAACTTTCTTAAAGATATTCAGTTCATATTCGCTGTAGGGGATGGGGTTGAATGTTAACCAAGGAATGCATTGGTAAATAAATTTAAGTGAAGAATGTAATTTTACAGTATTCAGATTGATACACAACTTTTTATACCTGTAGAATTCCTTCTTTGCTTTAATAGACATTCAGGCCAATAATATTGTGGAATGATCATTGTCTTGGGAGACCGATGTTCATAGATTTTGTGGGTTACCCTTACCCAACAATTTACATCCCCACAAATGATTATTTTCAATGTATTAGTTCATTAAATATTCTCTATATATAGGAGTTACCCAAGATATTATGTCCCCAATAATACATGTAATTAAAAATTTCCCTGCCTATTACCGACCAATGACCCCTGCAAAATTAAAATGATTCCAGTGTAGACCACAATAGGGGTCCAAACTTTTTACACTTGACAATATCAAAACACTTTATATATTTGACTACTATCTTTTGAAAATCTGTTCTTTATGTTTTGTAATTTCAGAACAAAGAGATCTAAAATTGAAAAAGAAACTGCAACAGCAACAATTAAAACAGGAAGACCAGATGCTGCAGCTGTCCAAACGCTGGGCATCCGAGATTCTGCCAAACTGGGAATCCATGTAAGTTATATCAGTACATGTAAGTCATATCAGTGCAAAACAGTCATTCTAGTCCAAACGCTGGGCAGCAAAGACATTGCCAAACTGGGAGTCCATGTAAGTTGTATCAGTACATGTAAGTCATATCATTACATATACATGTACAATCACTGTACTCCAAGATGGTCCTGGACCAAACAGTTCTCATCACTTTGTGCTTGAAATTCCATTATTGTAATATTGGAAGCACCATCATTTGACATGGAGTGTTGAGATACATTGAATTATAATACCTCTTGCTGAAGTCTCTCTTTAGATTAAGATACTAAGGAACTAACCAGTGATGTTGTTGGCATTCAGGGCTCGAAATAATTGATGGCCCGCTGGTCTAGGGCCAGTGAATTTTCAATCTGGGCTAGTACATTGCAGAAGGCATGTGCCCTTTGGGTCAGCATTTTTTTATGCATAATAAAATTCACTCACAGTCGGGCTAGTTAACTTGACAGGGTTGTGTGTCCCAACTTCTGCTGTTTCTTGTTTTGCTAAATTGTACTTCTAAGTATCACAATATAAAAAAATATTACTACATGTATTATTATTATGGTTTTGTGCCATTCTTTTTAAAATCTGTTGGCCCAGTGGGACAGTGAAAGTACTAAGCTGACCAGTAAAAATATAAGGCGATAGCCCGAGTGACCAGTAAACAAAAATAATTATTTCTAGCCCTGGGCATTGAAGGAAAAAAGAAAGTTTGATAAAGAAGTTTCTATCTTTAATGAAATATTCATGAAAGCAATTTCAACTGATTGTGGTTGAGTTGGCAGGCATGCTGATGAAAAACAAATAATATTATCTGTATTATAATTGATTTTTGAAAATAAATCTCAATTATACTCTCCTGTATACTTGATGTTACAAATATGCATTGTCTAGTATGATCACTGTGTAAATTTTAGGAAAAACACCAAGAAAACACGGGACATGTGGTGGCAGGGACTACCAACAAATGTCCGAGGGAAAGTCTGGAAGTTAGCCATAGGAAATGACCTCAACCTTACTCCAGGTATTTGAAAAGAAAAATGATTAACACTTGCTATTCTTTTCTATAAAAGTTGTCATTTTCCTTTAGAAATTTTAAACACTGCCCAGGATGTTGTAGTTTACCACCTTTTTTTATTAAGTGGAAATTTTATTATTTTCAGAGCTGTATGAGATTTGTGCAAATCGAGCTGAGGACAGAATTAAACAGACTTGTGACTCGGACACTGGATCAGTCACTGAAAGTAAGTCATATATAGTGATTTTTAGCTCACCTGAGCTGAAAGCTCAAGTGAGCTTTTCTGATCACCCGTTGTCCGTCGTCCGTCCGTCCGTCCGTCCGTCTGTCTGTCCGTCCGTCCGTCTGTAAACTTTTCACATTTTCAACTTCTTCTCAAGAACCACTGGGCCAATTTTAACCAAACTTGGTACAAAGCATCCTTGGGTGAAGGGGAGTTTAAATTGTTAAAATAAAGGGCCAAGCCCCCTTCCAAGGGGAGATAATCAAGAAAAGACAAAAATAGGGTGGGGTCATTAAAAAATCTTCTTCTCAAGAACCACTGGGCCAGAAAAGCTGAAACTTATGTGAAAGCATCCTGGGGTAGTGTAGATTCTAAATTGTTAAAATCATGACCCCCGGGGGTAGGGCGGGGCCACAATAGGGAATCCAAGTTTTACATTGAAAAATGTAGAAAAAATCTTTAAAAATCTTGTTCTCAAGAACCACTGGGCCAGAAAAGCTGAAACTTATGTGGAAGCATCCTGGGGTAGTGTAGATTCTAAATTGTAAAAATCATGACCCCCGGGGGTAGGGCGGGGCCACAATAGGGAATCCAAGTTTTACATTGAAATATGTAGAAAATATCTTTAAAAATTTTCTTCTCAAGAACCACTGGGCCAGAAAAGCTGAAACTTATGTTGAAGCATCCTGAGGTAGTGTAGATTCTAAATTGTTCAAATCATGACCCCCGGGGGTAGGGCGGGGCCACAATAGGGAATCCAAGTTTTACATTGAAATATGTAGAAAAAATCTTTAAAAATCTTGTTCTCAAGAACCACTGGGCCAGAAAAGCTGAAACTTATGTTGAAGCATCCTGGGGTAGTGTAGATTCTAAATTGTAAAAACCATGACCCCCAGGGGTAGGGCGGGGCCACAATAGGGAATCCAAGTTTTACATTGAAATATGTAGAAAATATCTTGAAAAATCTTCTTCTCAAGAACCACTGGGCCAGAAAAGCTGAAACTTATGTGGAAGCATCCTGGGGTAGTGTAGATTCTAAATTGTTCAAATCATGACCCCTGGGGTAGGGCGGGGCCACAATAGGTATTACAAGGGGGAAATCGGGTGAAAAACAGCAAGGCCAAAGTTACTCAGGTGAGCGTTGTGGCCCATGGGCCTCTTGTTTACTCTATGATAAAATACTTACCATTTAACACTAAATTTACATTCTAAACACTTGAAGGGGAGACATTTTATTGATGTTAATTAGCTTAATGGTGTAAATTGGATGCACATTTTACTACATGTACCATCATAATTATGCAAATGATTAAATAATTAATTTTATCAGTTTTTGATCTTGTAGCATGTATACAGGCACTGAAAATTGTTCTCTTTTAACTACGTCATAGTTATTTCTGTTTGCCAAGTTTGACTCATGATTTTTTTTTCTCAAGAGGAGATAAAGTTTTTGATTGTGGTTCATTATGTTGGAGATGAAACAAATGGCTGATCTGTTCAGTAATTTACATGTAAATGCATTTAACAGATGTTCCTGAGGTGTCGTGCACCAATCGAGAGGCTAGTGTAGAACTCATCAAACTAGATATTTCACGGACATTCCCTCAGTTGTGTATCTTTCAAAAGGTAACATTTACATGTATTTAGAATTTACCTGTATAATGGGGACAGAGTTGTGGAAACATGTGTGATGTACATGTAAAATTACACATTGTTGCTCTATAAAATACCCTCTACCACAAAAAAAAATTAAAAATTCTAAATAAAGATGAAGAATTATTGATGATATTAATAGGTAACCTTAATTTTGTTCATTTTCTTGATAGTATTTATCTGTTACTTTTAGGGAGGACCATATCATGATCTTCTTCACAGTTTATTGGGTGCTTATGCCTGCTACAGACCAGATGTTGGTTATGTAAGTAAACCCCCATACCCCCACCCAAAAAAATATATGAAGGAACCCAAAAAAAAAAATATATGGAAAAATTTCAGTTTTCTTCATATAAATGATTTATTTTATTGTATAACAAAATTGAAAGATTGATTGCCCCCCCCCCCCCCATTAAAAGTATATTATTAGTTTGCATATTTTATAAAAGCATCCATATGAATAACTTGAAAACAAAGTTAAAGGTTTTCTTTTGATCAGTTTTATAAGCGTTACTGATAACCTTGTTAAAAAATCACAGAATTAAAAGATTGCTGAAAGATTTGTTTATTTATGATTTTTCATATATCAAAATTAAAAAAAAATGTTTAAAGCACCATTCCAAGTATGATTCCTGGAATTCATTTTGTTGGCAGACTTATCTCAGCACTTTTACTACAATGCATATTGAGTACTACTCTAGGTTTCAATTTAATCTTACATATATTTCCCATAATTCGAAAAGAGCTTCAAGGCTTTTTTTTCAGTCTATTACACAAACTTGGATAAGACTACAAAGAAACTAGAAAATATTGTATGACTTGACTGATAAACAGATAAGGAAATGTAATTTGATGTCTGATTTTCAGGTGCAGGGTATGTCTTTCATTGCTGCCGTTCTGTTGCTGAATATGGACGTCGCTGATGCCTTTATCTGCTTCGCTAATTTACTGAATAGACCTTGTCAAGTAGCCTTCTTTAGAATTGATGAAGCCATGGTAAGATAATAAGTATCAACCTTATGTCTTTTAATGGCATGTCTCAGAATTAGAAGCCATTTGTCTTTATTTTTAGACAAGGTTCACATGAGGGATGAATTAGAGAGAATATGTTTATAAAGGCAATACATTATGTATGTATTAGATACTGTGGAATCATTTAAATTCGTTGGGGTCAATGTTCGTGGGCAAGCCAAATTTTATTGGTTCGTGGGGATGTAATTTCGCTTGTAATTAAGCTTGTTTATTTGGTAGATCTAATCAATCAGTACGTTGACAAAATAGTTGTTCGTGGGGATGTAAATTCGTGGGTAAGGGTTACCCACGAAATCCACGAACATTGATCCCCCACGAACAATGATGATTCCACAGTAAATACATGAATATGGCATGACTGTAAATAATCTAAAAGTAACAAACTTATCAAAAAGATACATTTATATGAATATAGACATATTTATTCTTGAAAAAGGCTAGCTTGTGTTTTAGATATTGGTAGTTTTAGGCTTTGAATTTCAACTTTTTTCTTTTCAGATGAAGTTTTATTTTCAAACATATGAAGAATTCTTCAAAGAAAACATGCCTGCATTGTTTCGTGTCTTTAATCGAAATAATGTTACACCTGACATATATCTCATAGATTGGTAAGTATGACAGAATGGCAGTCTTTTTTGTCTTTGAAGAGTTTGTAATACTGTAAAACTTATAATTAGTTATAGGAAAGTCCTGGGGAACTGCTAATTGACTTCACTGTATCTGTAATTTGTTACATCCATACAACAAATTTGTTAAATCAAAAGTATATTTAGCCAATTCGCAATATATTGTACTAGATGTTTTCCTTCAATTATGATTACAATATACATGTACATTCTTGGAAGTATTATATACAAAACATACTTTGGAATACTGAAGTTTTTGGATAAATTGAATTTAATCATGAATACTTACAAACAGTAATATCAGTACAATACATGTACTTTAAATTTTGAGATCTTTGAAAATTTGTTAGAAATTTCATTTAATATTCATAACCTCTACAGGAGAAAAAATCTGTTTGCTATATCTGTAAATTAACTATATCAGAGTTCATTATAACTGTAAAATTTTACCAGGAATTATCAAGAATTTCGCAAGAGATAAAAAAAAACTTAACTGTATCTGTTAATTTGCTATATCCGTGTTCGTACTAATTGAGTTTTACTGAAACGCAAAATATGGTTAAGATACACATACAATATGTACTTGTAGTCTTGAGTGTAACATTAAATAACATAAAAATGAATTCAAAAAAATGAAAGTGATTTTTACATCAGTTCAGGGTTTTCTGCATTTTAAACTGTTTGTCATTTTTAAATCCATGAGGCATACACATTTACATACAGTTTCATTTTAAGGCATTATCAGCAATGATGTCAGTTTTGCTAAAAAAAAGTTGTATGAATTGTGCAAGTAGAGTTATTTTTCTCTATGAATTTAAATAAAGAATATGTGACTAATTCTGGCATTAATGAGGTCATAACCAATCTGGGAACACATTATGCTGCAGAGCCTTTATGCATCTGTTACTGGCACCTGCTGGCACCTGCTCCCAGATTGATTATCTTCATCCATTTCCCTTCTCAAAAAAAAAAATGTTATTTTCATATCACTTTTTAGCTCACCTGAGCTGAAAGCTCAAGTGAGCTTTTCTGATCACATTTTGTCCGGCGTCCGTCTGTCTGTCCGTCTGTCCGTCTGTCTGTCTGTAAACTTTTCACATTTTCAACTTCTTCTCAAGAACCACTGGGCCAAATTCAACCAAACTTGCCACAAAGTATCCTTGGGTGAAGGGGATTCAAGTTTGTTCAAACAAAGGGCCACACCCTCTTTCAAGGGGAGATAATTAGGAATTTGTGAAAAAATAATGGCATCATTTAAAAATCTTCTTCTCAAGAACCACTGGGCCAGGAAAGATGAAACTTATGTGGAAACATCCTCAGGTAGTGTAGATTCAAGTTTGTTCAAATCATGACCCCCGGGGGTAGGGTGGGGCCACAATGGGGGATCCAAGTTTTACATAGAAATATATAGGAAAATATCTTTAAAAATCTTCTTTTTAAGAACAGTAAAGCCAAGATTGGTCATATTTATATGGAAGCATCCTCAGGTAGTATAGATTCAAGTTTGTTCAAATCATGACCCCCGGGGGTAGGGTGGGGCCACAATGGGGGATCCAAGTTTTACATAGAAATATATAGGAAAATATCTTTAAAATCTTCTTCTTAAGAACATTAAAGCCAAGATTGGTCATATTTATATGGAAGCATCCTCAGGTAGTGTAGATTCAAGTTTGTTCAAATCATGACCCCCAGGGGTAGGGTGGGGCCACAATGGGGGATCCAAGTTTTACATAGAAATATATAGGAAAATATCTTTAAAAATCTTCTTCTTAAGAACAACAAAGCCATGATTGGTCATATTTTTATGGAAGCATCCTCAAGTAGTGTAGATTCAAGTTTGTTCAAATCATGTCCCCCGGGGATAGGGTGGGGCCACAAT